AAAGTTCGGCCAGTGTCTGACGTCTGTCAATGTCACGAGGCGAAACCTCAAGGCGTATGTCCGTCCCGGTAGCTCGGTCGGTAGAGCGTTGGACTCCATGTGCCATGTGGTGAAGGCGCACGTCCCGGTTGCAAAAGTCCGGGTTCGAAACACGACGTGTGCTTGATGTTTTTTAGCCTCCTGACGGGTATGGTTGTGGTTGGTGGCAGGCCGCTGCCAGGCGAAGTCAGCGAGGGGACCGGCCGTGCGCGGCTATGTGCGCACGTTAAAATTTGGACTCTAAACCACAGACCATTTTGCCATAGACTAAACCTCAAAACCATAGTCTGCAATAAACCAGGAATTGCTTGATCGGAGGGTAGATGGCAGGTTTCAACGCTTAACAAGCTCAGCTTAGCGGGGACTCTGTCCTTGTGATTCCTTCCATTCAAAAGGTTCGGGCCAAATTTATATTAAAAAAGGGGGAGCCGAACCAGGTTGGGCCGAGTTGAACCAGGCTGGACCGGGGTCATACATGCAATCATGGTCAGACAAAACAGAAGTTAATTTCGGGTCAAATATTTTTATTAACTGATCTTATTGTTTTTTAGCTTACACGTAAAATAACTTTTAGCTTTTTATAACTCGAGACTTCATGCACAGAAATGTGGCGTTCGTCCACTTTTCCTCATCGTCTCTTAGCGACTTGATTTCATGTGGTGGCGGAAGGGGGGGGGGGTGGGGAGGGGGCATCGGGGCACCGTGCCCCCGTTTGATTTTGGCATTTTACCCTCGCCCATGTAGGGGGGGGGGGGTTGGTGCAACCGCCCCCCCTGAGGTTTTTCTTAGCTACACGCCGAACCGTTTCAGATAGCCCGCTCAAATTTTCAGTACCCTCTGGGGCATCCTTTGCGCAACTTTTGGTATTTTTTTTTGTCAAGGTCATGTCAGGTCACGGAATTATGACGTCATAAAGGGAACAACCTCCGGCCAGATTTACGCTAAATTGGAGATTGCTTCACATTGGTATAAATGCTGACTGACCTGACACACTGATGGATTGTTTTAGAATCACAACTGGCTGATTTGACATTGGCACAATGTCCGTTGACATTTTGAAGGTTACTAAAGGTCAAGGTAAGGTCAGTGACCTCGGTTGACCTGTAATAACTTCTTGCACTTGTATGCCTTTTCGGGGTATTTTGATGCCCTGAATTCGAATTTGCTATCCATTTCAGGCATCGTCGGTTGTTTCTTGTAGTTCATTTTGGGTCAGGGTCAGGTCAGTGGCGTCACACGCCTGACGTGACCCAATGCACAAATGACCTTGCAGACTTACGATGCTCCCAACGCATCATTTTTAGAATTATGACATCGAAATACACACCAAACGATAGAGAATTGATCAAGGATCACGATAGTGAAGGTTTCAAGTCGATATCTCTTGCCGTTTTGCCGCAATCGGCGCGGAAATATGAAAAAGTTAGATTTTTCCGAAAATTTGACCTTTGACCGGTCATAAGTATGTCAAATGTTGACCTAGCACCAAAAAATATACCACCAATCGCAAGATCTCGTTGACAATCCGTTGGGGTTTTTCCGCTAAGCTCTACGACGCTCCGTTTTCAAACGCCAGGGGGGGGGGTTGCACCAACCCCCCCCCCCCCCTGCATGGGCGAAAGTGGCAAAACACAGTTTACGGGCGAGGGTTAACATTAGCCCTATGGGTGTTGCATGGAAAGAATAGGACCAAAAGTCGGCAGTGCCCCCCCCCCCCCCACTTCATTAAAGGTGTTCCGCCGCCACTGCTTGATTTGACCCTAAAGGCGTCTTACCAGCAAAGAAAAAAAATCACCTGCGTTATGCCTAAATATTTGCCCAAGGGCGCTCTACGCAAGAAACGCCAGCCGGTCAAGAAACTGGCGAACGAATGCGATCTCTCTAGTGCTTGAATTATATTCAATGAAAATTTCAGGAGACATAAATAATCTTAATCCTTATAGCTAGGCGCTCGGAGCATTCGCTAGCATTCCATTGCCAGCTGGGGCATTCCACGATAGATCGTACCAGGCCCGTCACCCTCATCTCTCAGATTTGAATGAAAATTGGTACAAGGGGTAATCGTAGGCTCCAAAAACACCTGCCAAAATATCAGACTTCTCAGATGAAAACTTTTTGAGTTACATTGCATAATATTTTCTAAACTTCAGATTGTAAGGGTGAGTTTGATGAGCTATAACTCAAAAACGAGCTAAGCAAGCAACAAACGGTAAACAGCTTTGAACTAACGATGAATCAAAGATTAATACAGTATTTTTAGAGTTGGAAAGAAAAGCTTTACATATTAAAAAAGGCGTAGTATATTTTTAAATTGTCTATAATGGCCTTTGGGACCAAAATTTTTGCCATTTTTATTTCTTTAAAATAAACCTCAGGTCCTTTAAAATCGACATGCAAAAAATTAGAAAGGTGTTCTTTCTATAAGATCCTCATATAAATGTATACAAAATGGGTTTCCGGGGGGTTGGTACGACCCCAGCTCGCCGTTTCGCCTCTAATGGAGCTAGAACATTGCGGAAAAAACGAACATGTGTGCCGTTATAAGATGCATCGAATGATACCTTATTTTAAGGTCTCGGGTTGATTGGTGACCCCGGAGGTCATTTCAAGTGACCCAAATTACGGGTCCGGTTTTATTATAGATAACTTCGCAACAAATGGTCGTAGAGGCCCGATTTTAGCATCTTTGTGTTTGCCTAGCTCCGGCGCGTCGAATGGTATACTGTTTGTTCTGGTGAGGTCAGCTTAAGTCGCTGATCTCGGGTCAGCACACTGCCGTGTATTTGGCTCCGCTCCCCGACCGGGCGGCCCAGCCGGCAGCCAGCCCCCGGGCATCACGTGACCGCCCGAGTCCGCGGCAAAGCCAACCAGCGCGGCGCTGGACAAACAGCGCCGCTACAGAGATGGTTAACAGTCGGGTCAGGCCACGAAGCTGGATGAATGAGATCATATTGCACATCATTCGATTCGCAAGGTCTTCCCGAGTCCATTGGTAGCTTTCCCGTCTCTCTAGCTCAATTTGATCGAGAGTTATTGACGAAAAACTCTTATGACCCTAGTGACGTACGAATGACGTCACGCAAGGTCAACAATGCAAAAGTGAGGCAAAAATTACTTCAATTGAACTTTCAGTAACCAGTGATGTCACTAGGCAGCTTTACCACACCATTTGTAGGCTCTCTTCCGAAATCACAATTCGAGACCATTACGGTGACGCAAAATAAGTACATTTATAGAAAGAACACCTTCCTAAATTTTTGCATGCTACTTAAAAATGACCCAAAGATGTTTTTAAGTAAATAAAAATTCAAAAAAATTTGGTCCCAAAGGCATAAAAATGCAATTGAAAGGAAACTCGAGGTGTTATATATCAAAAATAGTATATATTTCAAAATTTTAAAAATGCATATTATTCTTTGTTTCAATGCAAGTTCAATGCCGTATAGCATTTGGCATTTGGATTATTCGTCTTAGAGTTACAGCCCGCTAAACTTGGGGCTGCAACGCAAGATCCAAAACATGTTATACACTATAACTCAAAAACCACTCATCTGATAAGCCTGAAATTGTTACAGGAGGATTCAGAGCCCCTGATTACCCCTTAGACCAATTATTGTTAAAATCCGAGGGATGAGGGTGTCAAATTGGAAAAAAGTGGTACGATCTATCGTGGAATGCCCCAGCTGCATTATCAACGCCACATTTGCATTACTCTGGGTGCATCATAAGTAACAGTAGGTGAACCGGCCACAGCAAAACCATGCCTCATTATCCTTTCCTTCCAAGCTGCCAAGCTAACCGGCCGCCCGGCCCACCACCGCGATATGGAACAACACTGGAGTGCGCCATTTGCCTACGGCAGTGCCCCACCGCGCCGGGGCTGTTTGACAGGTCACCCGCACCGTGACCTCGCCACCCGCCCCCCTCCCCGCCCACCTCCCCATCGGGCCCAGCTCGGAAGTGACCTCTCCTTGAATTTGACATGGACTCGACTAAGGCTCAACGCCATCTAGTTACGTCTGGAGATCCTAATAAGATCCACTGTACACTTGGCCGCCGCGAGAGTAGACGGTATACACTAGAGATGTCCCAAATTTCCAATTTCATTACCCGCCCCGCCCCGCAGGCACCCCTTGCCCAACCACAACTACCCGCAAGCTGGTTTTGGAGGAGCTGAACCCGCAACTACCCGCATTTTTTTTTTAGGGGGGTGGGCACAAATGCCACCAACTGGTTAAATGCTATCAATAGGTATAGAATATAAATCCTGCTTGCTTCAATGCTGTTCAGAAAAGAAGCTGGCATGAGGCAAATCAAAGAGTAAGGACTGGCACTTAATGCTTAGTATTTACCTAATACCTACTGCTAATCAGCAGATTATTACCATTACTAGATCAGAGACAAGTGGTAAGTGAGAATGGGCTTAATATAAAAGAGGGCACTGTAGGTAATAGGTTACTCTTGATAAAATAATTAACTGGCACAATCTGATTCTTGAATGCTGAATTCCATTTCATCAGTCAGTGCACATCAGACACTAGACAGTGCATGTGGTGTACATTTGTAGTTACAATGATGCATTTGAAATTATGTTGTTGAGTTCAATAAAATCCAGCTCTCACCTTGGTCTGACTCAGATCCTTCAGCATTAGCATTTAGCAAGTAGCAACCACAACCAGCAATACCAGCGTTACTCCCAAGCTTCTTGATTGTGATTCTTGAATGCTATCAGCCATGGTTATTGGTATGACTATGGAATATGGATAAAATAAGATAACGTCAAAATACGCATTTAGTTAGAAAAATAAATCTATCACCATTGCAATGCGATTAGCGAGCACCACAGCTCATACGAATTACGAAACAACAGCAGTTATATGGCCTTGGCCCTTGACAACAGATGCGTCAGAATCGTCCGAACTCCGAACTCGACGCAGACGATTTCAAGAGTCACGACGACGAAAACATTAAAGTTGTATTCAGTGCGAAGTGCGAACTGCAGGCAGACACAGCGTGACAAAATTATTTGCCATACTTAATGACTGATCACAGTATTCCGTACAAACTACATAGTACACTACAAAAGTACAAAGTACAAACCTTCAATGCTGCAACAGCTCATGTTTAATGATTCGCATTTTAAACGCTGATAAAAACGACATCACCCAGACTAGATTATGATTAGATAATCGATAGATATCGATAACAGAAAACATACATATTAACGATTAGCAATATCCTACCGGTCTCCAGTTCCACTCTCGGCAGTTGGTTTCTCGACTAGAAAATTAAAAATGCTGAATCCGTAGTTCGTACTCCGTAGTCCGTCCTTCCGTGACTCGTCCGTGCTTGACAGACGACAGTCCGATGAAAGCTCCGACAGCGACACACATTTGCCTGCCGGTCCACTGCGCCGGTCGGTGCGCTCAGCGCTTGAGCAGGTCCCTGCAAACAGTAGTCTGTCTCCTGATATATTCATCACGCAATACGCATGCATTTTAATGAAAGGCTTTTCGAATTTGGTTGCAACTTGCAAAATACTTAATGGAAGGGTAACACTAACGACTAGCGAGGTGTCGATTGTGGAATAAGTGGATGGACTACAGTAGACTTAAATTTCAAAAGTGACGACGTGGTATAATGAAAATGGCTTAAAATCACGGCGATTTCCACTGCCCCCCCTTCCCACCACGCAAATTTACACGCCGTACTTGAGGCATAATGCACAATGCACATTGCGTGCATGCATAGTGCACACACGAGTAGACCCGGATTCCTTTTCCTAGTTCTTAAGAAGTTTGACCCTACTTGTTGCCCTTCACGAGGAGGAGCTGGTCCAGGTGGTCCTTGCTGAGGTTCGACCTCCTCGGCTCTGCTGTCCGTCCAGCAGAGGAGAACAGCCTCTCTGAGGAAGCGCTGCTGGCCGGCACTGGAACACGAGAGGCATGTTGCAGACTGCAAGTGCAGAACCTAAACTGCAGAATGCAATTTACATATGCATTATGCAGTATGCAGTATGCACCACAGTTAACAATGCCGGATGCCCGACAGCCAAACTATTTAGACGTGAGAGGGCAAGGTGCAAAACGGAAGTGGTATTGATTATGGAATATGGATTATCGAGCAATAAGTGTCCAATGACTGTTAATTGCTCCATTCACTGAAAATTTGGTTGGTCCACTGGACATTGGACTGGAGTGGACGACATCATTGATAGATTAGATAAATGTTTAACGAATAATTGAACGCAAAAAGATATGAACGATTTTTGTCACGTCATTTCCTCACCAAATAGTGTCTGTCGATTTGTTCATATTCTGCGCACAACGGTAATAAAAGAGTGCCTGTCACCCAAGTGGTTGACGTTAAATAATAGTAGACACTAGGCACTTACGACTGTGGGCGAATCGGGCCACCTCCATCAGATGCGGGAACAGCTTCCCTCCCTCGGTCCGCCAGTACTGTAGGATGTCCGTCACGGCCACTGCTGGCCGCGAAGAGATGTAGCGGTCCACGAGCTGGGCTGCCGTCTCAGCCCGACTGTCTGAGGCTGCTGGTGGATGCTCGTCCAGGTCCTCAAGCTCCCGCTCCATGGCACTGGCGGCGGCTGCAAGTCCAGTGCTTCCTGCAGCAGCTTGCTGAAAGCAGCGCTTCAGTGAGCAATAATGCGGCGCTAGTTAAGCTACCAGCAGGTATGGTGATATGAATTATGACATCTGGTGATATCCTTATCCGTTCCTTGTGACGTAGTTCGGCAATCGGCATGTATACGTGTCGAGATTTAATCGACGAAAATTGACATATTGGATTATTTTTTTTTTTATAAATTTGAACAAACAGCTGCCAAAAAAGAAGCCTTCAAGTCTCCACTTCCCAGCCCATTCACTAACCTGATCCCCAGCGCAGAGCTGCACGTCAGCCGAGCCCCGTTCTTCGGCCACGCGGGCCACCTCCCGGACGAGCAGGTTGGTCGCCGCAGCTCGCCTGTCTTCACTTAGGAACGAAAACTGGCGCAGGCTCCGGTAGCGGGGGTGGAGCAGCGCCGCCAGCAGATGGCCGTCAGTCACCACGAACTTGGCGCGCATGCCAGGTAGGAGGAGCTCCTTCAGCTGTGAAAATAGACATTCAATTGTAGGTACTAGGTAGGAAGTAGGAAGAGGAACTAAGAAGCTAACTTGAAGGTAATGAACACACGATTGTGTGAAAGTCCGCTCCCCAAAAGACTTACGCGGCGGGCGAACGGCCGGTCGGTGTCAGATGGCGCGAGTGCTCTTTCGGCCTTCTCCCGCACCACTGGCACAAGGTACGCCGTGGCACCCTCGGCCTCCAGTGTGTCGGTTGAAGTCTGGAAGAATCCCAGCACTCGGACGATGTCCTCGAGGTCGCGTTGGGACACGACGTCGAGGAAGCGGGCCACCTGTTGCAAGATAACGCAAAGTTCAATGCTTAACCTTATCTGTTGAGCATGTCGGACAAGAGAAGGGGTCACAGGTCCCAGCGGAATGAATCAATATTCGTGATAGAATTAGACACTACACAGCAGTTAAAAACTTCAAAGCATCGACATTACCTCGGGAAAGTCTTCCTCAAGCAGCTGAATACTCGTGAACGAGTCCAGCACAGACCGGAACATCACCAGCTCGCTGTTCCACCGTGTGACCACGGACTGACGGAGGCGTCTAGCGAGAGCCCGGTTCACCCTGTGGGAAGGAAGCAATGAACTGCTATCAATCCAGGTTAAAAGAAACGTGAAACGGCTGTTGGAATAAAGCGCTTTGATAAAGCCTGCAATACAGTTCCTTATTTGATACTTTATAGCTTAATTCGATGGTACGCCACACATGAATTAACGGTATCAGCGGCGAGGCGACATGACTTGTCCCAAACTTATTTGAAATAGGAACTATGACTCTTACTTTGATTTCTTCATGTATCGGATGAGCGTTTTTGAGGCCTCCGATAGAGACTTCAGCGGCAGCACCGCCTCGCTGGTCTTCAGGGCATCTTGCACCACGAGATTGAGTTGATGGCAAGTACAGCCAGCCCAATCTCTGCCCCGGAAGGCCGCCTTCATGGCTGCGGCGTTGTCTGTCACGAAGCGACAGCGTCCTTTGAACCCGAAGTCCTGGGAAAGAAAAGAGTAAACAGATATATTTCAAATTGGGATTTGGGAACTGGAACTGCATTGCGATTTGCTATTGGCAAACCCTGTCTAGCACCTAACCTAACACAAATAAAAACGTATGGGGTCGATTTCTTTACTATCTGTTTGATCACTCTAGTCGCTAGTCGAAATTCGTCATTCGTTTCGTTAGCCGTCCTATCAGTATTGTACGTAATTACGAAAGCCTAGGAGCAATTGTTCTAATCGACAATCGACATCGACATTAGTTTCTTCAGCAGGCTGCATGTGCATAAGTGTGCTAACTGCTAACATTAAAGCCAGCTTGTAATATTATTATCCACTTCCAGTATCCTCCACCACACACGCTTACCTCGATGATGCTGTCCATCTTGGCCCGTATGTTCACGGCTGTGTGGGCCTCCTCAGCAGGGTCTATTTTCAAGACCCGTGACTTGAGTTGCCACTCCTCATCGACATAGAAGGCCGTGGCCGACTGGTACTCGGATCCCGTGACTTTGTCCGTCCAGTGGTCAGTGGTGAAGGTCACAGTCGGTTGCTGAAACGATAAAAGATATTTATTACTTTTCATTAGACAGTAACGTTTTCTGAATGACGCCTCCATCATGGGAGATCGAGGAGCCAGTTTTGTTTGCGGTACGTTGACGAATTGGGATACTTTTTACGTTCGCCATTTTACGGAAAATATATTGATTTTCTTCGATTGCATTAACAAACTTTGTACCGATTAAATGGCAACAAACTTTTCCATTTCTGGAAAATTATCGCCTGTTAATATTTAAGTGACATATCGTACTCGTGGACTGGACTCGAGTGGCATCAAAGCAAATTGTTTAGCAAATAGCAATGGGGCTGCCAAAATGAACAAAATTAGCATTATACTTACTCATTTAATCGAATTGCTGAAATTCGACAAAAATGTTTATATCTTACCTTTTACAGCTCCTGTTTCAGCGCATCCTTGATCTCTTCGGAGATGGACTCCAGTGCGGTCGTTACCGCATGCCTTCCAGGGATCAGGCCCTCTGCTGCCAGGTTAACAGAGCCCAGGTTTGCCCCGAGCTTGACGAACTGCTGGGCCTGCTCTACAAACCCTTCTCCTGAAAACAAAATCAGGTTGCAATTTGAAAAGGAGGCTTGATTTTCGTCAATTCCAAGGACAATTATGGCTCATTGATTATAGAAATAAAAAGCCGGACGACAGCAGCGACATCTGAGCGACGCGATTCACATAGTTACAACCTTTCCGACAGAGTGCAGCACACTCACAGTTCAATCGTCCAGCCTTCCTTCAGCCTGCTCAGTTTTGGACGCCTGTCGCCTACTGTCCAGTGTCCAGCGTCCGCCCATATTCCGTAACAAGTTAAAAATCGCGCTAGAAACATAAACTAGAACCATCATGTTTCAAATTGTCATGCTTCTAGTTTAGGCTTACCTTCAGACACACCCAGGGGGCGCAGATCCAAAGCGGCAAACATCGCAATTGCCCTAGCAAGCCGCTCTTTGTGCAGGTGTTTGCTTCCGGCCGATGGTTTCTTGCCGAAGAAGGCCGTCACTGTCTTCTGTCCCCCGTGAGCGGCCTTCCTATGCACTTCCAGATGCCTCTGCATCACGGATGTCCCGGATCCGGTGTGACCGGAAACGTGCTTCAGAACATCGTTGCAAGAACGGCATGCCACAAAGTTCACCGGCTGGTCATCGAAGAGGACCCGCCTGAACCCCTCCCACACCGCGCTTTTCTTTTTGCGGCCTTTGTATTGTATTGTATTGACGTAGGCAGACACTCCACATACACTGTGGCTATTCCGTGTCTAAAGTCATTGCGAGTAAAAAAAAAAAAAACATACGTCAGGGTAAAAGACAATAAAAAGTCAAATCACACACCTATACATATACCAGACACTCGCCACGCACACAGACACACACACTCCATATGCAACCACACTACCGTCAATCACAGCCACTCGTCAGTCCATCAGAAGAACGCGCCCTTCACTGCTCTCTTGAAACTGCCGGGACACTATCCGACTAGGTTTTTACCGGCTGTGGCCATTGCAGGCCAAGCTAGGCCAAGGTCAATGATATGTGTTTGTATGTCTGTGTGTGTCTGTGTGTACGAGGGGTACCCAAAAGAAACGGGAATTGTTTTAAGTCTGTTTATTCACTGATCCCTACACATCGACATCGTCACTCATGTAACCCTCAAAGTACTCTCCCTTCGAGGCAATGCACGTATCCAGACGCGCTTTCCAAGCGCTCAAAACAGCTCTGGAACTCTTGCAATGTGATGCCTTGCATCGTCGTTTTTTCTTTCACCTTATCAACGTCCTCGAAACGGTTTCCCTTGAGGTCTTTTTATTCTGGGGAACAGGAAAGGTCACAGGGTGCCAAATCCGGTGAGTAGGGAGGGTAAATCAATGGGATCCTGCCATTTTTTGTCAAAAATTGTCTGACACACAAGGCCGTGTGCGCTGCGCATTGTCGCGATGAAATCACCACTCCCCGCTTCGCCACCTGTCGGGGAGTTTCTGTCTCACCGCGTTCGTTTCGCACACGCCGCAGAACTTCCTAGTAAAACGTCTGATTGGCACTTGGCAGTTTGACCAGGTAAACAACTTCCTTTTGCACAATTCCCTTTGCATCGAAAAAAAATCAGCATTGTCTTGACATTTGACTTCACCTGGCAACCTTTTTTGGGGCGCTTTTGGGGTAACATTTGACCACTTTTAACCCTTGCACGTGTGCAGCGTTTGCCAGTTTCTAATGTGTGGGGGGCGTCGGTTGGATCCCCCTTGCCGTTTGGCCCCTGATTGAGCTAGAGCTTCGCGAAAAAACGAGCGTGCTGCCCCTGACGACAGGAAGCCGATGATACCCAATTTTAGGGTCCTAGGTCATTGGTTGACCTTCCAGGTCAGGTCAATGACCCAGAAGTCTGGAAAATCGGGACCTGTTAGAAAGTCGTTAAGTGTAGTTTCCAAGGGGTTTTTCGGGGTGCTGATCACGAATATCGTGTTAGTTTTGATCACAGATGATGTCTTTAAGCATAAGACCAGATCGGGTCAGGTCAGGTCAGGTCAACCAGTAGGGGTCGTAACGGGTATTCGTAGTACGTGTCAACCGCCTCCGACAGCTTCGTAACATGTTTCGAAGGCACCAAACTACTTCGTAAATGTTCAAATAGTTTCTAAATTCGAATTTAGCTCCAAAAACTAGCCTAGAAACATATAAAGCTGGAAAAAGTGAACCGAGGTCACCAATGGTCAGTGACCTGACCTGACCTTCAGGTGACCTTGACCTCCACCCAAATGCATGGGAGCAACATCAAATCACATGTTTGAACGTTTGAAACCACGAGAAGCTTGCCAACGAAGCTTGCGGCTAAAGCGAGCCGACATACGCCGACCCTTTTTCAGCGCATGGAGGAGGCCCTGTACACCGATTTTCATTCAAATCGAAAGAACCCGCCGTTTCCCGTTAAAATGTTAATT